GCTGCAACCCCTAAGCATTTCTTCTAATAAGGTCCATGAAAAGCAGGCAAGCTGCTGGAGACCCAGAAGAGGAAAACCTTAGCCCCGTGCAGGTAGAATTTCTTTGGGAGGATGTGGAGCTGTAACAGTAGCCTGAGGCTTCAAGTGGAGTGTTAGCTACAGTGTAGTAAGACCACAGGTGACTCGCCAACATGTGAGCAAATAAACGGGACAGACCCCTGCTGAGGAAACTTGGACCCTAACTGGCTTGGAAAAGAGGACTAGAGTAAATGGCTTCTCAGAGACCCTGGCCAAGCGTCCTCCTGACTTTTACAGGCCGGGGAAGCTGGTGGGCCGGCTCCTGCTATGGCCATGGCTGTTAAGAGATTTCATCCATTCACACTAAACCACAAGAGGTAAAAGGGACAGCCACAAACAAGTACTCTGGCTGGGCTTAGTGGGCAAGAGTGCCCTAAGGGCTAGGGACAGAGCTGCCTGCAGAGAACTCTTGAGGGACTGGGAGGTGCTCTCTGTTCTGTCCATACAAGGACTCAGGCCACCACTGAGCTATCTGTTCCTTGCCATCTGATGGTACAGAGGAGAGTGGTTTTGATGTCCAGAATAACAGGTGACCCCCAACAGTAGGGGAGCAGTGAGGCTACAGGGCAGGGATGAGAGACTTAACAAAGAACAAGAGAATGAAGTCAAGGTCTGAAAAGCCTCACGGGATGAGGGAGGGCCTTCTTTTGAGTAAGCTTTGAGGAATTTGAGTGTTCTTTCTGGATCTTGGGTGGGTGGAGTCCTGCCTTGAGGGGCAGGGGGTGCTGAGTCCTGGAGCTGAGATCTCAAGAATCAAAATGCCTAACACAGGAAAGAAAGCCTTAGGAGGTGCCGCCTGCTATGGTCCCTACAGCTTAAAAAAGCCATCGAAGAAAACAGTCCACCACAGAGCAGTCCTTACAAACTAGTGCCTTCTCCAGTGGGCACTGCCTCCCTGCAGTCCCCAAAGCCATCCTCGCCTGTGCTCTGGCCAAGAGCTCAGTGTGGCTAGTGAGGCTCCCCACCCCCCCACCCCCACCCCCCGCCCCCATGCCTTTCCCAGCAACAGAGGCGCCTTTTCTTTTCCTCGTGTCCCATAGCCAATAGGGCTCCTGTATGCCAGAGGGACAGCAGTCCTGGTACCTGTTACTAGTTCAAGTGTGGTGTTCTGTCTTGCTGAGACCAAACCTAGCGAGGGGGTCTCCAGGTGGAATTAGGGGACCCTAAAGGACTTGAAGCAGCTCACTGGGAACAGTGCTGGTAGCTGGGGGTGGGATTGTACCGCTTGACCCTGTACATACATATGGTCACAGGCTTTGGGAAAGCAGGGCATTTAAGAAAGCCTGGAGAGGAACAGGATGGGTCAAGACAGCTTTGTCCAGAGCCCCAGGCAGCTTCAGAGGCCTACAGCCTGTAATTGCTTTAGAGGAGACTCAACCTGCCTCAGCACCAGATACCTCCAACTTAGCCCCCATTCCAGAGCCCTGCAAAGCTCTGATCTCAGGGCTTCACTGGATCACTGATGACAGTTCCTGTTCAAATGCAGCCCCTCCACCCCAGCCCACTGTTCTCACTCTTGTAATATTGATTGACTCTGGTAGCAAGCAGTTCTTAAATAAAGATGTTTTTCTCAACCTGCCCAGGCAGCTGGCAGCAGCTGCGGTCCTCATCACCTCATTAAAGCGTGCCTCCTAGGCTTGTTCTGCAACCAGGTCGTCTGCCCATCACACAGCCAACTCTGAGGAAGCCGTGTAGACTGCTTCCTCTAACCCGAGGGAAGACAGGCCAGGCGGCTCGCAGGCGGGCAACAGCAGAGCGCAACTGGCATTCGGCTAACCTGAGCAGGTTTTACCTAACGGTGGTCAGCATACCGGGAGAAAAGAGCCCCTTCAGGTCCCCTGACTTCAATACATTGGAAGTGTTGACACTCTTGTCCCAAAGGAGAGTCCCCTTCATGAGGAGATTAATGACCCCAACTGGTAAGGAGGTGACTGTTGCCTCCACTGTTTGATCAGGGTGGCCCAAAGAGGGGCACTCCTCGTTTTCAGGGTTGACACTCACATGATGAACATACCAACTTCCAGTACACACAGGGACACACTCAGGCGGTCCTGGTTTGATTTCCAGTGTCAAGTGAGTAGGACACCGTGCAGTGTGAAGGAACTAAAGGAAGGAAATCAAGACCCCTCCACTCAGTGCTTAGCTTCCTGACCAGGGTCTTTCCAGCATGACGGGTGGTCCACACAGACTTTAGTCTTCTGTCAGCCTCTCCTTCACCTTCCCAGGGCAGTAGTGATATGCACAGAACTTAGGGAACTGAATTGATGGCGGGGGAGGGAGGGGGTTTGCTTGCTGCTGAAACCAGAACTATGCAGATACAAGCAGGATCTTGCTAAGTTGCCCAGGCTGACCATGAACTTGCTGTGTAGCTTAGACTAGCCTTGGAGTTGGAATTCTTCTGCCTCCGTTTCCCCAATAGCTAGGATTACAGGAATACGCCACCATGCCCAGTTAGAACTAAGTTATTATCTTTACAAAACCCATCGGAAAGTCTTTTGTTCTCTTCTCAAATGCTACAAATCCCAAGTCACAATTCAAGAGCCCAAGGCACACAGAGAAGGGAGGCTGTGACCCGAGAGCCAGCCGCCTCAGGCTGGACTACCGGCCTGCAACAGAATGCTGGAAAAGCATCAGTTTGGTCCCACGTGGTTTCCAGCTACAAGATGTGAAGCAGGACCCTTCAGCAGTGTGTTACCGAGTTTCTTTTTCTTTCTTTTTTTTTTTTTTTTTCAAGACAGGGTTTCTCCGTATAGCTTTGGAGCCTGTACTGGATCTCACTTTGTAAGCCAGGCTGGATTCGAACTCACAAAGATTCGCCTGGCTCTGCCTCCCGAGTGCTGGGGTTAAAGGTGTGTGCAACCACCCCCTGGCCTGTTACTGAGTTTCTTACAACAAAATCCTTCACAGTCCTCTTTAGAGTAAGCTATCCTTGAATGTTTCAGCAAACGGCCTAGGACTGAATGACATTCCCCAAGCCCAGTACTTCATTTTACAAAACAGCTTATCTCAACTGATCCCTGGGCCCTCACAAACACCTGTGTCAAAGTTGAGACTGGCTTTGTCATATGGTTGACAACAGAGCAGGGACAGGACCAGGTCTTCTGAAACTCCTCCTTTCTGAGGCAACAGACAGGGGTGACATCAGCCTCCTGCTGTGACACAGTATGGATCTGTGTAGGGCTCTTCTCAAAATGTTGAAGACATTCCTCACGAAGCTAATCACAAGGGCATGGCAAGTCCAGGCTGTGGGAGAGCATCTCAGACCACTGGAAAAGCCTGCCTCTTCAGTGCATCCCTGTCATGAGAAGCAACGTGAGGGACTAGCTAAGAGACCCGAGACACAAACACTGAATGCGGCACACGAATCTTTGGTACTGGATTAAATTACACTAAAAAGCTTTAATGGTTTTGAAAATGAAAACTGAACAGAAGCCAGATGTAGGACTGGCAACTGTTGGTTTTCTTGGGTGTGACAGAGGCACTTGGCCATGTAGGAGAAAGCTCAGCTGGCCAAGGGATTGCTGCCGTCCAAGCATGAGGCCTGGAGGACAGAAAAAGTTGGGTACAGAGATGCACACACACTCATAATCCCAGCATTGGGGAGGCAGGGACAGGTGGAACCCTATGGCTCAGTGGCCAGCCAGTCTTGATTTCTCTGTGAGCCCTGTGTCTCAGCAAAAGACCCTGTCTCAAAAATAAACCAAAACCAAACCCAAAAAACAAACAAAACCCCACAGTGGATGCCAACTGAGGAAAACCCAAGGTTGACCTCTGACCTCTATACCACACACACACACACACACACACACACACACACACACACACACAGAGTCATGTTTGGGTCTAGTTTTCAAATGATTCCATAAATCAATATACATTTAGGGTTCTTATGAGGAAAGGTTAAGAACTGATGAATTTGGGCAGAGCATCTCCAGGTGGTGTGGTGCTTTGAATGAGATGCCCCCATAAGCCTAGAGCATTTCAGTACTTGGTTCCGAGTTGGAGGCTGTTTGGGAAGGATAGGTGTGACCTGGATGGAGGAAGCACGGTACTGGGGGTGGGCTTTAAGGTTTCTCTCTCTCTGCCTCCTTGAGATAGGAGCTCTCAGCTGCCAGCCAGCTACTTCTGCCATCATCTGTCCCCCTTGAACTGTAAACCCCAAATAAACTTTTCCTGTAAGTTGCCGTTTTTTGTGGTGTTTTATCACAGCAATAGGAACATAACGAATGCAGGTGGTCACTAAACCTTGTAAAGTTCGAAGTAAACACTAGTCATCATCCTCTAGTCATGATCTGAACTGAATTAGCGTCCCTGGGTTGGGGGGTTCTGTCATGTGATTCTGGCACAGCTACAGAAGAGGAACATGGCCTCAGGATTCTGCCACTCCTGCAGCTAGAGAAAAGTGAGGAGAAATGCTATCCTGCTTTCAGCTGGCGCCCAAGAGCCTTTTCCCCGAGGGTTCCATAAGCCAATTACCGCAGACTCTGTCTAAATGACCCTGAAGGGCCTGAAGACCGGACTTCCTAAGGGGAAGTGAAGTCAACAGTCCTCCCTTGGGGATCCTGGTGGCTGTAAGAAACCAGGACACTTGACCTTTCGAAGAGCACAAAACCCAGGTACAGACAGTGCCAAAGGAGTAGCAAGACAAGGACTGTGTGCAGTGCCCAGGAGCCTGGGTTCTGCCAGGACATTCAATTTGATTCTGAGCTCAGAGGATCATCTAGAGAGAACAGGGAGGGCAGACACTAAGACTGTCAGTCAGCCGAGTCAGGCATCATGGCTCACCTTTACAACATACAGGCATACAGCCGATACAAACAGTCTGCCCACCGCATGCTCTAGGAAACCCAAAGAAAATGAAAAGCAGGCCACCTACGGGACAGTTTCTACATGGGAGAAATCTTATATAAAATAACAAAGGGTTGGGTTGCCATACAGTTACTGTGAATTATTTTTATTGAACAAAAATAGAAAGTTTCCGCCCAAACTGCTAATAGTACATTCTGGTCCATACACACTGTCCAGAGAGGTGGAGTGGAGGGAGTGGTGGCCGGAGAGGTGGAGTGGAGGGGAGTGGTGGCCGGAGAGGTGGAGTGGAGGGGAGTGGTGGCCGGAGAGGTGGAGTGGAGGGGAGTGGTGGCCGGAGAGGTGGAGTGGAGGGGAGTGGTGGCCGGAGAGGTGGAGTGGAGGGAGTGGTGGCCGGAGAGGTGGAGTGGAGGGAGTGGTGGCCGGAGAGGTGGAGTGGAGGGAGTGGTACACACGCTGTGAAGCGTGGAAAGAAAAGCAAGCTTGGAAGACAGAACTTCCCTGGGAACAGAAGCAAAGCCTACTGAGCACCCAGGATGAGAAAACCTGAACACAGGGGTGGATACTGCTCCCCTGAGCATCCTCCAAGCCACCTAGCCAACCTTAGGCTCCGAGAGCCCTCTCTTGCCACTCCACTACCAGAGGGACAGGGTACTCGTGTACAGGCTAGTTCGGCCTCCTGGGCAGTCAGCCTCCCAGGAGTAAGGGTTCCATTATAAGCTGCTAAGGCTGCCGTTACCATCAATCTCCCTCAGCGCAATGCGGATAGCCATGCTTACCAGCACGCCACCGACCACTCCGGCAGCGATCCCTATGCCCACGGCTGATGCCACCTTCTTTTGCCACTCTGGGAGGTGAGGCTTCGAATGGTTGTCTAGACTAACCTCCCAGCCCTCATCTACTAACTTCTGGTCCTCAGTAAGGGACTGATGGAAATTCAGGTTTACCAAGTCTGGAGGAAGGACCCTCAGCCCAAAATAGAGCCTCTTGACAAACTTCAAGTTTTTCAGCAGCTGCACATCACATCGGTATGTCCCAGAGTCATACTCATAGGCGGGTTTAAAGCGCAGAAAGTGAGAGTTGGCTCGGAAGGGTTTAAAAACCTCATCGTTAGTCGAGATGATGCCCCGAGCAAGCTTCCAGGTGAAGCGGAAAGCTTCCTGCCCCACCTCCAGGATGTCTGCGCTCAGACAGCTCAGCTCAAACTCCTGCCCGTGGACAACAGTGAAATGGAGCATCCCACAGATCCAGTTGGTCAGACACTCCAGACGCTGGGACTTGCACTTCCTCCTCACCCCATCAGGACCCACCTCACAGACGGTCTCTTCCTTGTAGCCAAGGCCACATGTAACGGTGCACGCTGTGGCATTGACAATGACTCTCCCCACAGCTTGTTGTAGCCTCTCAGGGATGGCCAGTGTTTTAGGGGACGTCAACACCAAAGGCAGGCAGATGATCGAGACCAGGCTCCCAAGGATAAAAACAGTGGTCCCAGTCTTCATGTCTCAGTAGGCATTTCACCAGCAGGCATTCCAGACGAACACTCTATTGTGCTATAACACAGATCCTCCAGCCTGGAATAACCTCTAGCATTGAGAGATGATGATGTACAGCTGTCAGCAGGACATATGCACACATGTGCCCAGAAGTGCAGTCCTTCTTCTCAGGTGAGGCCACAGGCAGGAAAAAGACTTGGACTACTGGTGTCGGACTAGGTTTGCCGGGGGCATCTTCCCAGGGGACATTCTTGTCCCTTCTGCCTAATGAATTCAAACCCACAGGCTTGAGAACAAAAAAGGAAAAGACCTCAGAAGCTGAAGTCAGTTTCTACATTACCCCAAATGCATGAGTTAACTCTTTCCCTCCCTCCAAACTACGCAAGAGTTTCAAAGTCCTGACCAAATAGAAAAGCTCGTCTTAAGAAAGGGGATGAGGTGGGGCTGGGTTGGGATGTTAATTTGAATACCTTGAATTCTTTACTGTGAATGTTCCTAAACCACATCTATTAAAAAGATAACTCTGGACTGGAGTCACTTGACTCCCCACATTTCTATTTTTCTTCCTTTGTAAGCCAAGATCTCCCTGTCCAGTTTCAGGAGGTCACTTTGAACACTGCACCTGAAAACACTTTTATCCAGTGTCAACTACCTTCATTTGTAAAGACTTTTAAAGGAATGGAAAGCAGGTGTGGCGACAATGCCTGGAGGCAGAGGCAGGACTGTGAGCAAGTTCAAGGCCAGCCTGGCTACAAGATGAGACCTGTCTCAAAAGAAAAGAAGAAGCTCAGTGGAGTGCTGGTATGATGCTTGTCTAGCATGCATGACGCTCCAGGTTGATCCCCAACACCACACAAACTGAGTGTGGCAACATACTCTTTATCCCAGCACTCACGAAGATCAGAAGTTCCAGGTCATTCTCAGCTTCACAGGGGTTAGAGATAAAGATACTAAAGGGTGGGTGTGTGAAAATTTAGTCCCACACACCCTTCCAAAAGGAGCAAGTGAGGCTACAGCAGAGGCAGCTCCTGTCTTGTTCCAGGTACTCTCTTTCCCAAGGGAAGCAGGATGGATGTTGCTGGGTGTGAGGATGAACAATGCTGTTTGATTCTAGTTCTATTTACCCTGCAGAACAGGGGAGCTCATTGTTTACATCAGTGAAGGTTGCTATGAAACAGCTGTGATGATAAAGATGGGTTCTGAGTGACAAGACAGAAGATTAGTAAGGAGCTCAACTTGGTGTTCATTAAAACCATACCACTAGGGGCTGGAGAGATGGCTCAGAGGTTAAGAGCACTGACTGCTCTTCCAGAGGTCCTGAGTTCAATTCCCAGCAACCACATGGTGGCTCACAACCATCTGTAATGAGATCTGGTGCCCTCTTCTGTCCTGCAGTCATACATGCTGTATACATAATAAATAAAGAAATCTTAAAAAAAAAAAACCAAAAAACAAAAACCATACCACTAAAGCAGTGGTTCTCAACCTGTGGGTCTCAATTCCTTGGGGGATCAAATGACCCTTTCACAGGAGTCACATATCAGATATACTGAGTATCAGATATTTACATCACGATTCATAACAGTAGCAAAATTAGTTATGAAGTAGCAATGAAAATAATTTTATGATTGGGGTTGACCACAACATGAAGAACTGTATTAAAGGGTCGCAACATTAGGAAGGTTGAGAACCACTGCACTACAGTCTCTGAGACAAATTATTATTATGAGACAATGAATATTCAGTATGGATGTTAAAGTTATTTAATCAGAGAAAATGACTAACAAGGAAGAATGTAACTATATTTAGACTAACAAAGATCCTTGGAAGGCTAGAACCTCTAGGATGCATTACTGTAACCTCCCAGAATGCCTAGCACTGTGGGCTCTTCAAAGCTTATACTGAGTTAAAGAATATGAAAAGAAATTCCTAGGTGACCTTTTTTTTTTTTAATTAACGCCAGCTTTTAGCTCAAATCATTTATTTCTAGTTTGTACAAAGGAAGAAATCCAAACTGCCTGACCTTTCTAGATCTGGATGACCACAGAGAAAGATCTAAACTCTACACTTATCTTCTATTGTACAGAAACAAAGTGGCTGCTGAGTTCCAGAAGCAGGCAGTTTACAAACGAACATCTATACTTGTGGTTTAGTAAACATCCCATTTTATTTACAAAGCATTAAAGCTTTAGCAAGAAGTCCCCAAGGCTGAGTCTCTCTCACCTTGTACAAAACTACAGAACATTTTAAGGAACAGAATGGAGAGGAAGGGAAGGCAACAGAAAGAAGAGAAGAATATACATATATCACACAGATCAAAAAGGCCCAGCTCAAAGTGGACGGGAGGTTTCAGGAGCTGACGAAAAATTCCAAAAGCATAAATAATTATTGGGAGCTGCTGCCAGAGACAGCCTGGCAGGGCCTGAGCTGATTTCTCAGTAGCCAGTTAATGGAAATGGACACAGCGCTAGCGTCCGATGGAGGAAATCAAGCACTTCACACAGGGAAGGCAGAGACCCGTGTCTGTTTGCACACTACTTGCGGGGTGCTGTCCAGAGACATGACATGGATACAATACCTATAAATAGGAACATGTCCTGTGAGCCACTCACCAATCACAGCCATTGGTCTCACTCACACCTGAGGCAGCACCACAGTGATCCTGGAGACTTCCTGCGGGGTCCACTGTCACGTCTACCCCCAGGATAAAGGAGTCAACAGGCTGGGCTATCTGAAGGAGCCTCCGCCAACTGATAGAGATTCACAATTAGCATAGCATTTAACCCCCCTTTCAATGCCGAAAGTATGACCCAGGGCAAGCCAAAAGCTATTGCCAGAGACGATACTAACCAACACTTTCCACACTTGGCTTTCTGACTTTGGATTTTCAGAAAATTTCAAACACTTATTGTACATATCCATCCAATTTGCTATTTTTATTAAAAGAACAGCAAATGCAGAGAGAGCCAGGGTGAGAAAGAGAAGGGTAAAAAAAAGCTAAGCAACCTTTCACAGAAAGGAAGTGTGTGAAAACACAGGGGGCCTGGCTCCAGGAAGAGAGACACACTAGGGCTGGTGCGGACAGGTTCTCCACAGGCAATGATTGAACGAATGAACCTCATCTTTGATTTGAAGCGAGCTGCTGCTGCTTTGATTTTGGGGGTTTCACGTCAGTCCTCGAATAGGTGCCCCACCCCCATGATACAGAAGCTTGTGGAGAAACACACCTTGCTTTGTTTCTAACTCTGGAAGTCAACATGGATAAAGTAATACACAAACTACTGATGATCCTTAGCTGGAGATGGGTAAAACTAATCATATCCAAAAACCATGATTATCAAACAGATCTGATACTGGAAAACATGCAATGCAAGGGAAACCCCAGCTTCTCTAGAGCCCAGCCTCCCGAGACAGAATGACAGGGGCCTTCTAGATTCCTTCCTTTTCTGCCAATTTGAAATCTTTCAAGCACTCGCTTCTCTGTCCAACCTTTATACACAATATAGAAATACAGGAAGCATCTGAGAAGGGGAGTTATGAATGAAAGAAACAGAAAATGCACCGGGTTTCCTAGGACACTGGTAGCGAAATTTCAGAAAAGAACAAGTCACAAGGACATGCATTGAGGATGGAAGGCAGCAGGAGATGGGGATGACATGTCCAAAGGATGTGACTTCAACAGTCAGGTGAACAAAACACGGGCATTTTTCACCAGCAACACAACCAAGTGTGAAGCTGAAGTGAGTCAGATCTCCCGACGTCTTCACGTATCCTCATTCCTGAGAGCCTATTTGGACTTATGCTTGAAAGGGAAGGCAGGGACCTGTGCTCTTCTTCCATAATTCACTTCTTCATTCAAACATAAAATCCTCCTTCCACCTCCTGGGTGGGAGGCAGAGGCCTTTGTTTTCGATTAAAGCCAATCTCAAATGACTGGCCGCACTGTCCAAAGGCTACCTGACGACAGCATGAGAAAAACGATGAGTTTCACCGTCTTCATAGCAGTTCTGAGATCGCTCCTCCTGCTAAGAGAGAGACACCGGAAGATTTCCTTTAGTATCACAGGCACACACGGGTCAAGAATGTCCCCCTCTGAAGTGCATAACCCAGCTCCCAGTCACTCTTCACGGAAGCAACTGTCAATCTAAACCCAAATCCCCACCCAATACTGTTTCAGTACTGTCCCAGTGTGTGTGTAGGGAATGTAAATGGATGAGCCTCGACCCAACCTAGGCAGATAACCAAGTTCTCGGGCAGTCACAACAGACAAAATAACTCCAGGGTACCAACCCTTTCAATCTTTCATATATTAGACTAATCAGTCACTAACAAATAACAGTGAACAAGACATCCCTGTCCAAGCCCCACTGTTCCTTAAGTGACATTTTTATCTGCTTGGAACCCCAGATAGCATGTGCTGTTGATGAAAGCTACTATCTGTGCTTCTATGCACCGAGAACTGGTAAGTGAATAAAATCCTAAATAGTAAGATCAAATAAGCACTTCCCTGATGACTCCATAGAAGTTGTTCACTTCTGAGGGACATCTCTAAATGGGCGGCTGTGAAATATTAACTAGGAAGTACAAACAGAGAACAAGGTGAAGAAAGGCCTCTTGGGTGTAATTTAAATGAGGGACTACATGATGCTTGGAGTTTAAAATGGTGAGAATTAATCACATAAGTACTGAAAGAAAAGTATTCAATCACAAAGTTGCTCTGAATGCTATTTTTAAAATGAAGTTCTAATAAAAACGAAAACTTGACAATAAAAACACATTTGCTAAGAACAGGCTGAGATAAGGACAAGATACAAGCTCTCTAATAAATGCTATATAATCTCAAATGCTAAAGCTGAATGCTGTATCATTTCAAATGCTATAGCTGAATGTTATAGCATTTCAAGATACGCTAGCATTTTGCAAACTACTTTTCAAATCTCCTTCAGTATAAAATATAAAGAATTTCTGAGTGGATTTAAAACTTAAGAGAATGCAGTCTCCTAGACTCAGCTCACTTACTTCCTGCTGGTCTCACTGACTGCTTCCATAGGCACCCTGACCAACTGAGTTTTCAGTTTACAAAAACACAGCACCACCATTTTAACCATTAATCACGGTGGAAAAAGGTGTTTTGATCACAAATTGACACTCAATTCAACGAATGAAAACCTTCTACTGTACAAAATAGTTCACATTTCTACACCACCCCCATTCTTATGAAAGATGTGCATGCATATTTACACATATACGCTTACTGAGGCATTAGGCAACAAACTAAAATCAAAGCAAGCAATACTATTAGCAAGGTAATATATGGGAAAACAGCTCTACAAAGGCCTGCAGCATCTGGCCCATGGAAACAATATTTAGTTGCATCATACAGGAAATCTCCAGCAGTACAGTATTAAGAAAAATTCAGCTTAAGATGAACAGCTATTTTTGGTCTCTCCCAGGAGGAGCCTAATTCAGGATGGCCAAAGAGAACATCCTGACATGATTTCCAATCCTTCATTGGTCAGCTAGGTGGATCACACAGAATGAGACAGAACATCCAGCTAAGCATCAAATCAGTAGAATCCATAAGTTAGCCTTTGAGTGACTATTTCTAAAAAGAGGAGAAGAGAAGGAGGAAGAGGACAATGTACAGTTCACTCACTATTGGGCATTTAAAACCAAGGTTGTTGTAAGTAGTTAGAGGGGCGGAGCTCCAGAAGGCAATGAGTAATTGCAGAGTGGTCCAAGGTAGGGCAATCTGCATGGTGCCCAGTGCCCTAAGAGCAGCTCTTCTGCCCACTTTGGCCTCTGTCATGTTCAACAGACATATTCAGGTGTACATCAGCCAGTGGTGTCTAACAGGGGCAGGAGGATTATATATGTGACAAACCAGTCTTGGTGGCATTTTGCTGAGGTTTGCTGCTGGGGAACCTTAGGTCTTGGCTTGTGTTTTCATCTCCAGCTCAGAAATAGAGTTAAGGGAACAGAAACAGGTATTAGACAAACGGTAACAGCAGGCCTGTCCCTGGAGAGTCCTCAACTCAGGGTTACCCTTACCAGGCTTCCCTCCACACAAGAATCCTCGGGTGCGGGTCCTCCTATGCTAGTCAACACTAATGAGCTGTGCGAGATGAAAAGAATTTTCAGTAGCCCCAGATTCCAGATTAACAGTGGTCTATTTGCCTTCCCATTTCCCCTAAAATCCTAATCTCCTGTTTGGAACATACAACAGTTAAAAGCAGCTTTTTGTTAGAGTAATCCAGGTTTACAAAATGGATTCTATGGTGACCGTCCAGTTGCCCACATTATTAATACACAGCTATCATTTATCCAGCTTGAGTGTTACACAGCTTCCCCCACAATTCTGCCTACAAAAATGTGACATTAATGCAAAAGTTATCCAGTTAAAGGGAGTTCACAGGAATGAACCTTTAACATAATCTTCGGAGTAGACTGGTTTGTTTCTGCAATGCTGAGAGCAGATCCCAGGGCCTTGGGCATGCTAGGCAGATGCTAACACGGACCTACACCCCTAAACCCTGGGCTAATTTTCAAAGAGATCTCTGCTATAAGCATTCCAGATGAGTTTTATTTCTTAATATCTGGTGGAAAGCAATGGCTACATACTATCTTTTATTGAAAATCTCTGAAGTATCAAATAACATGAGTTATTCACGAAAATATCAGTTTTCCTCAGAGGCCCCTGGAGGGCCACAAACAAATCAACAGCAGGTCCAGCTTCTGCTTGCTCAAGACCCTCCAAAAACCACTGTGTTACTGAATGAAGCCCTTACTTCAACCAAAGAACCCCACATACAAGATATGATAGTTTATCCTGAAAGTTGATATTCTGGAATTATCTGGGACATCCAGTGTCACCACTCACAAATCTGCAGCCTCGCAAAGTTCCAAATTGTATTGAACCATCAGTAAAGCCACAGGCGACCCTCTGAAGGCCTTAGAACCATGCCTCAAGATCCCTGCTGAGGTTGTGCTGATGATCCTGCTCCTTAGCACTGTGGTATTTCATCTGTTCTGGAGATTTCCATTCAGGAAAAGATCAATGAACCAAGGCCAGAGAAGAAAGGAGAACACAGGAAGAAGGACAGAGTTGCATGGAGAAGCACAGGCTGCATGCAATCCTGAGGAGCTGCGGGACTGCGGGACTGGAGCTGCTCTGCCCCTAAGAATATGGATCCTTCCCCTCACCCCACCAGGGGCAAGTTCTCTAGTCCTCCTTAAGGATAAAGATGTTCAAACAATTGCTTCCCTTTAAGGCTGACCCACTTCAGTACTCAACAAAAGTAACTAGAAAACAAAAGGCCAGCAGGGAGCACCCTGCTACTAAAGACACTGTTCAGTACTTCCGTCAACCTTGAGACTAAACCAAGTGACAATGGGTCATTTTCAAAAAGACCCTAGACACAGGTACCTGCTCTTGCTAGCCTGCATAAATAACCAGTATGCATTTCACATACAGTTCAGAATTTTACTGAAATTCTTTTTTTACTACTAAGATAATAACATTAATGAATTTGAGGAATAAAAAGTTCATTCTCGAGGACTGAGTAAATGTTCCAACATTTTGATTCTGGTTCTCATTTAGACATTGAGTTACTGTGACTACTGGTGAACATATTGATTAAAACTGAATTTTAGCCGGGCGGTGGTGGCGCACGCCTTTAATCCCAGCACTCGGGAGGCAGAGCCAGGCGGATCTCTGTGAGTTCGAGGCCAGCCTGGACTACCAAGTGAGTTCCAGGAAAGGCGCAAAGCTACACAGAGAAACCCTGTCTCGAAAAAACAAAAAAAAAAAAACAAAAAAAAAAAACCAAAAAACTGAATTTTAAGTCTTTCTATTATTGAGAAAGACAATTTTAAAATTCTATAGTGGTTTATTTACCATTTACTATATATACTTCCTATTGAAAAGCACAAGATACATTTTAACTAGTAGTGTTGGTTTTTCTGGCGATACAGCTCAAACACAGGGCCTTGCACCAGTCAGGCAAGTGCCGCTCCACTGAGCCATACCCCAGGGCTCCCAACTACTTACAGGACAAAAGCCAGGCGTGCTTGCACACACCTTTAATCCCAGCACTCTGGAGGCAGAGGCAGGAAGATCTCTGTGAGTTTGAGGCCAGCCTGGTCTACACAGAAGCATAGAGATTATGTCCTAAAGTGTTTTAATTAATTTTATATGTCTGGCCACATTTTAAATCATGCTAAAAGCAACTGGACTTTTTGTGGCAGGAAAATCTACTCAAATTTCAAATTGGGTTTCTTCTGAACTGACAGAGTGTATGCACATAGGCTACAGAGGGGCCATCTTATTTGTTAGTAGTCAACTAACTGGTCAGCTAGAGTCAATTACTGACCACTTCCTTTATCCACACACAGCTCAGGACTCAGTATGGAGGTGGGAACTGCTTACTAGGTGCTGTAATCACTGCTGTGGGGGACTCTCCTACTCAGTGGTATGGGTGTTGAAGCATGAAAAACTCAAGTCTAGATCTAGCAAACTTAGGGGACTAATGACTCAGTCTGTTTTTCAATTTTGCTATAGAAAATAATTTCTATTTATAGGCATCAATTAACTAGCATAAGGTACAAACTGAACAAGGAATTCTGCTTTGTATTCTACTATTTATCATATGTGGATTAACACATTTAAATTAAATTTTAATTTAAAATTTAGAGGGGGAAAAAACTAAATATAACCACTGACATTTTATCTATCCTGTGTCAATTAGCCACAAAAAAAAGAGTTTTATATTAACAAAAGCACATGCTTGTGTGTGTGTGTGTCTAACCTAATGGACAGATACAGACTTTCAAATCCCAAGGACATTTGAGGGGAGATGACTCTAACTGGACCATTATTTTTCCTTTTTTTTTTTTTTTTTTGACAGGTTTTTCGAGACAGGTTTCTCTGTTTAGCCGCCCTAGCTGTCCTGGATCTCGCTCTGTAGCCCAGGCTGGCCTCAAACTCACAGAGATCCAACTGCCTCTGCCTCCCAAGTGCTGGGATTAAAGGCGTGCGTCACCACCACCGCCTGGGATTGATCATTATTTTTCAAACAAACACCACTTAACCGGTTCACAGGTCTTTTCTAGGAATTTCCATTCCTTGATAAACTCCCTCAGTCATATATTATGTGTCGGGGGCTGACGTGGCTCAGATGGTAAGGGCTAAGGCTCACAACCAAAAGGACACTTAGATGTTAGGAAGCCACACTCTGTCTTTTTGGCAATTTTCCCCTATTTTCAGATACTGGGGGAAACCTCAAAGACCGTTTTCTCTTTAACCTTATGGTACTGATAAGAATTTCTCCTTTCTCTAGACTGTCGAGAAGGAAGACTACTTGGAGTCTATGAACAATGTGAAGATGCTGCAGTTTAACAGTCAGGTGCCACATTAAACCAGCTTAGCTTGCATTTCTGGACATCTGTCTGAGGCAAAAACACAAACCAACTACAGAGTCATCTGCAAGTGAAAGTTTAGAACAACACAGCTAAGGCAGACACAGTCGACGTGCTGCATTAGCTGGGGCTCGGATCGTTTGGGTCACAGACCTTCCTGTAGGAATCTAATGGAAAGCAGGCATCCTTCCTAGAAAAACACTCACATGTACTTGGCAGGTATCTGAAGAAAGCAGAACCCCTGTAATCTACTTATGGACCTAAGACTGACAGCCAATGAATTAAGCCAATTTTGGTTTAGCTTGCCCTGAGCAGCTTAAAACCCAAAGATTGACTTGATGCTGGGGAAAAGGAAGGAGGAGAGGGAGGGAAGTCCCGCTGCAGTTAAAGGAAGTCAGGAGCTGTACAAAGCAAGGCCACAGAGCAAGCCAGACAGTGCTCCCAATGTGTCCTTACCTGCCAGGGGCTGGCTGAGTTCCGCCTGCACTTTACCCTTCGCTGAGCCTTCCAGAGGCAAACCTCTGTCCCCTTTGTAGAGTTTCGGTTTAAATGGAGACTCTTTCTCTTTACCTTTTGATCCTTTAGGCCGGCCTGCTTGCTTCTTCTTGGATTTGCCATCCCCCTTCACCCCCAGTAGTGGATGGACTTCTGCAGGAGGACAGACAGACACCCATGAGACACAGTCCACGCCACACCGGTCCACATCCCAACCAGACCTTTGAGTGCAAACAGTATTGCTCTTTATGGCCCACATCACTAATCTAAGAAAGAAAATGGACTATTATTTTTAAAACTACAAAAGGATGGCTACTAAATTGACAAATACTTGCTAGACCAAAAGGCGTACACGGTCTATATGGTTTATACCAAACTACAGCAACTTCAAATTGAAAAAGTTAAAATACCCACTCATTCTAAGTCACTCAAACGTGAAGAGGAGTGTGTGGGAAATGAACACACAACATGGGCATAGCAGTCAGAAAACAAATGGACAGACCAGGGCCAGAGTCTGACTCTACCATTTTCTGTGAGAACTTGGACAAGCTATGCAGCTTCAGCTCAGCTTCTCTCCTTTGTAAAGCAAGAATAATAAAATACTTGCAGGGGTGATGTAAACTGAGCAGTGGTACAGAAACTATACCTTGCTGCCTGGAATAAAGTATACACACCAGAGATTATACAGCTGGATAATTAACTGATCTACCATTAGCTGTAAGAGAAAAAAATGGAAGATGTCTAATGCTAACACCACCCCACCCCTAGCCAATCATTGCAACACATAGTAATAAAAGCTCCCAATCCCACTGGGTAAGTGAGAAGGAAGAAAAGACCGTGCAGGTCTGACTGGCACTTTACCAGGCAGCAAAACCACTCTTTGGGAAAAACAGAAAGATGAACAGTTCAAGGAAACAAGTTCTAAGTCATGTATCAGAAGACTAAGTCTGACATCTTCGGCAAGGTAGTTCAGGGCAGAATGTCCCCATTTTAAAAGAAGTGAACACAAATGCAATCATCACAGAACTGTGAAGCAATATAGAAAAAGACTCATGGGAAAACTCCTTTAAAGTAAAAATGGCTCAAAAAGGAAATGACTTATTTGTGCCCAAGAATATAAATTACTGTACAGAGGCACTGGAATAAAGAGGCAGCTCTTACCATCATTCGGCACTCCTTGGAGTTCTATATTGGTCGTTTTAGGTTTCTTCTTTGGTGGCTGGGACCCATCTGCTGAAGATTGCCTCTTCTTCTCTGAACTAGCCCCTTCATCCATCAAGGAGGTTGGGACTGCATCCGGCGGGGGGCCATATGGATTCTCTTCAGGGTCTTCTACCTCAGGGGCAATGGGTAAATACAACAGAGCCTTTGAATCTTCCAGCTCTTCATCACTATTTGGAACAGGACCAGACAAGGGATTGGAAAAAAGAGGAGATAGTTGCTTAAACCACAAGCCCTTCAGCCTTTCCTCTAATGCCTATATTTAGTACACACAACAGTTACAGACCTAGACTTTAAGGAAGCTGAGACGAAGGAAAGAAACTGGGGAACAGCAGTGGGCTCATAACCACAAATAGACTAGTTCATTACTGCAGTTTCTTTCTTTCTTTTTTTCTTTTTCTTTTTGTCCCCGAGATAGGATTTCTCTATGTAGTCCTGGCTGTCCTGGAACTCACTCTGTAGACCAGGCTGACCTCAAACTCAAGAGATTCACCTGCCTCTGCCTCCAGAGTGCTGGGATTAAGGGTGAAGGCTACCATGCCTGGTTTTACTTCAGCTTCTTAAACTCTCCATCACATTTTGTTCAGCAAAGGACTGTGCGCTATTCCCACTACTAAGCAGTTGGAAGTGAAGGGACAGCTGAGGGAACTGGGCAGTGCACAAGAGACAGGAACTATCGCAAGCCTTCCAAGGCACTCACCTGCTACAGAAGGCAGCAATAGGGTCCACGCTGGTGACATCTACTTCCTCATCCTCAGCAGCATCAGCCCCTGTAGGACAGAACATTGGAGAGGTTTGAAGAAAAGAAATGGAAAACTGCTTTTTGCCTCAGAATAAAAGGTTCACAAAACATAATCCAAAACTGCCAAAACCGTCTACGATGCTCTGCATCCATGGAGGTATTCCTAAAACCCACGAGACATGTAAGTTACCCAAAACCCAAAAGGGGAGCAGTTTTCAAGCTGGAGAGACCTAACTTCAATCCTGATTCCCTAATTCTTAGCACTATGAAGTGGTCCAGGTGTCAGAGATCTGGCCATTAATTACAGTGCCATAGTAATCATTCACATAATCATTCCCACCCCCCATACACACACACACACACACACACACACACACACACACACACACACACACACACACACACACCCCCCTACTATGTACCAAGTTCTGTGGTAGAAATCACGAAGATAAATCAAATCTCAAGGTAGTGGCGATGCACACATGTATTCTCAGCACTGGGAAGGTTGGTAGAGAAAGACTGGGAGTTTGTGCCACATAATGAGACTTTTGTCTCCAAACAGCAACAAAAGAGTCAGAATCTTTATTTTCAAGGAGTTCCTATTCAGAAATTTGGAAGATGAGATTAAAAATAATGACGACTAAGGTCATAACAATAAAAGACTTTGTTTGGGGGTCTTCTTACATTTGGGCACTACTTGCTTTGTATGAGTTATTCCATTTATCCTCTACAATGCAAAGAAGTGGGTGCTACCTTTACTCCACATTAGAGATGAAGGATGCAAGCTGAAGTATTCTGCCCAAAGCTGTCTGGTATCACAGCTCATGCTCTTGACCTTTCTCCAACTGACAAAGATGTAACAGAAAACACGACCCAAGCTGAGCCTGAGCGCATCTCTGTGCTTTGCAGGGTGCTGTATGCAAATCCTCATTTAATCATCTGTGACTCACCAGGAGATACAGATGAAATGTCAAGAGCTGCTTGAGCATTGGTGATGCCTATGTGAACCCTTAACTAGAACATAGATTACGACTCCTCGAGCACTGTGGTAACTACATATGCTTAAGGGGAAAAGGCAGCAGATAAAGCACAAAAATACAGTTACAACGCTCAGTAAGAATATTAAGGAAACCATCGTTTTTCCTTTTGGAAATACCGACTGCAATCGAGAGGCATTACCTGTTTGCTCAGGCTCACTCTTATCCTCATCTTCAATATCAAACTCTGATTCTCTTTCCTCATATTCTACATTTTCATCCAACTCTTTGAAATCTGGTGCAAATGCACTCCAGTTTTCCTGACAAGACAGACAAGTCACCACGTGAAAAATCAGTAACAATGTAAGTTCTGACAACTTATATTCAGCATGATACAGACTAAGCATTCTAAGATTCAATTTGGGATAAGAAAATAAAATCTTAGCTATCTAAGTGTTTGCAATCTTGATGTATTTTCTATATAAACATTTTAAGTTATTAACTGCATTTCTTTTCTAAATAACTACGTCCTTTAATCTTTTTTAAGTGTACTTCACAAAGGTAGTTTAAAAGTGTTCACCGATATAAAATAAACTGAGCTGAAAATAAGAAAAGCAAAATAATGTTAAAAGGTTGCAGAAAGTGTATATACATGGAAACAAAGTTGGAAACCCACTCAGGACTAAGAATGTCCCTCTGAAGTGAAGTGAAACGGAATATAATGAACTTACTTAATTAGGCTGCAAGGATCAGATGTAAAACAAAGCAATTAAAGTAGTATTTAGTTTACTCTGTATAAAGAGTTTTTGACAAAAAGAAATATTTACTTTCAAAGCAAATCAACCAGAAAAATACTTACTACTTGATTTTGGGCCCAAATGGACACCACTCCACTGGAAATAGAAGCTATGATAGGTCGAACTGGATGCCACTAAATTGTAATGTAAGAGAGAGAAGAACTGTCAGAACCGACTTAAGCCATCCTACAGTGTGTGAGCAACCAAAGCCATACAGTGCTCTACTTACAGCCACATCCAGCAGGAGTTCTCCTCTGGTTCCATGCAAGATCTTCACCAGGTTGCCAATGCTCTTTTCCCAGATATACAGTGCATGCTGCCGGGCAGAGCCCGCCACTATGTATTCCCCATCCCCAGAGAAGCAACATTTTTTCCATGGGGTCCTAAAAGACAAAGAACATCCCCAAGAGAAACTGGAGAAGAGCCCAGGGAAGGTCAGTTACATCCTCTCCCGGCAACACCACCTACCTGTTCACTAAGTCCTGCAGTTTCTGCATAGGCTCAGGCTCTCCATCCCTTCCACACGTTAAAATCTCTCTGCCGTCATAAACTCTGATTATTCGATCTGCTGTGTTAATTAGAAAGCAACTACAGAAAGGAGAGAGATTATCGACCAGTCAGACGTCTGTCCCTGTTAACAATTTCTATCACTACTACTGAGACTAGCGCCACAGACCAACTAGTTAGCTGGAGAGAAACTGAGAATGGCCAAGATTCGAAGCTTATGTATCTTCTTGTCACTCCAAACCAGTAAAGTGAAAATATATGTGCCTTATCCTGTGTATCCCCAAACCTCATGTCAATATTGCCTGGACTTAACTGAGATCCCAAGACCTCTGAACCAAAGTCAGCCTGCTCAATTCACGAGTTCATAATGTGTAATATTCAATAATTAAATACTGCACTTATCTAGCCAATGATCATTAATGAGTCAATAAGCCAAGTGTGTGTTTTTTCAGTTATGTTTATTTATTTGGGGAGGGATGCACATGCCATAGCACACTTATGGAGGTCAGAAGACAACTTGGAAGAGTCAGTCCTCTCCCTCCACCACGGAGGCCCTGGGGAGCCACTCAGATCCTCAGGTTTGGCAGCAAGCTTCTTTACCTGCTGAGCCAGTTCTCTGGCCTTAAATATGTCACTTTTAAATAGCTAACTTTTTATTGTAATGTTTAAAATACGTTTTTCATCATTTTCTTACAGTCTCTATTTACTCGACTACTTTTAATAGTAAATTTTTTTGAAATTATAATTACATCACTTTCCCCCTTCCTTCCTGGAACCCCTCCCATGCAAACACCCCCCCCCTCCCCCCCCTCATTCTCTCAAAGTTATGGCTTCTTTTCCTTTCTTTGTTTCTACATGACTTAATTATTCTGGACTCAAGAGCAATCCGAGTGCCTGGGCTGTGGCTCAGTGGTAGAGTGTTTGCCCCGCATGCAGGCAACTCCAAGTTCAAAACCCAGATAGACCAAGCACTTTGAAGGGGAATGCATCCCAAACACTAAGAGTGTTCCTAAAAGAAGAGAAAAGAGTGCTACTGCTGACTGACATGCCACTGTCTTCTTGTTTCTGTCACTCCATCTATGTCTTACAAACTTCAGTGGATGTCTGGAATTAAATCAGTTAGCAGATTTTAAGTGCATGCTCAACTGCAATATGAATTCCATAACATTAGTTCAAGTTATGTGCTGGTTAGTTTTATGTCAACTTGACACAAAGAGTCATCTGAAAGGAGGGAGCCTCAACTGAGAAAATGCCTCCATAAGATCAGGCTGAAGGGCATTTTCTTAATTAGTGATTGATAGGGAGGGCCCAGCCCATGGTGGGTGGTGCCATCCCTGGAGTGGTAACATTGGGTTCTCCAAGAAAGCAGGCTGAGCAAGCCATGGGAAGCAAGCCAGTTTGCAGCACCCCTCCATGGCCTCTGCATCAGCTCCCGCCTCCAGGTTCCTGCCCTGCTTGAGTATGTGCCCTCACTGCTTTTGATGATGAACTGTTATATGAAACTGTGAGTGAAATAAATCTCTTCCTCCCCGAGTTGCTTTTGGTCATGGTGTTTCATCACAAAGTAACCTTAATTAAGACAGGCTGACATATTTGGAACTGGGGATGCACCTCAGTTTTAGAGCACTTGTCTAGCATGAGGGAGGCCCTGGGGTTCTCTCTCCCTAGCACTGCTAAAAATAAATAAGTGAAATATTTAAAATTTTTACTCAGTGCTATGTGCCAGGCATTTTGATTCTAAGCAACAACACTTAAACATCTTTTCTGTAAAAGAACTGCCTTGTAACCTTCCAACAACACAGATGTGACTACTGGTTCAATAAGGGAAATTGTATGAACCTAAGAACCAGACAGTGAGAGATTCTAACAGCTTTAATAAATTTTATAAATTACATACACTACAAATATTATTATTTACATTCCATTCACTTGAAAAAAAAACCAAACTAAAGAAAATCAAAGACATCACTGGATATGGTACTACCATTCTGTAATCTCTGCACTCAGGAGGCTGAGGTGGGAAGACCACAAGATCTAGGCCAGCCTGAGCTACGTAGTAAGATTCTGTTACAAAAACCAATACAAAAACTCCATCCACGCAGGCAGACAGGGCCCACTCACCTCCCCTTCCGGGCAAACTCAATGGACTTAATGGCTGTGGTATTGCTTGTTCCTGTTGTGACTCGGAAGGAAGCAACAAGATCCTGAGAGTCTGTTTTCAGGACCAAGATCTGAAGTTTACAGAACAAAAATAAAAAAGTAAATATCCTGATGACTACTAGTAATTAGATCTGACTTGTTTTTAAATTGTGCAGAGACCTGGTAAAAATTCAAACACTTCTAGTCCTATATATTCAATCTTATTAACTGATACTATGTTTTACAGAGTCTTAAACATCTACTCTTAATATTATCCACACCAGCCAACAGGTGGAAACCACCCCAGAATCCTCAGACAGATAAACAGGTAAAATGTGGCATACACATACAATGATTAAACTTTGAAGATGAGGGAAATTCTGACACACAGTACAACAGTTACCTTGAGGACACAATGCTGTATGAGATATACTAGTTGTAAATAGGAAAATACAGTATTATTCCATTTCCACAAAGTGCTCACAGTGGAGATTCAGCAACAGGAAACAGAATGGCACTGCCAGGGAATGGGGACAGCACTCAATGACAGCCATTCAGTTTGCAAGATAAAGCAGGTCTGCAGAGGATGGTAATGAGTCCCACCATGCTCTGAGTAACCGCTAGGCTCAACATTTTAAAATGTTGAAAAGGATAAAATCTGTGTGCATCTTCTTTATTTATTCCTTTTTGTGCTGGGGATCGAACCCAGGACCTCACCCTGGAGGCAAGCACTCTATAGCTGTTAATATGTACCTTAACCACAATTTTTAAAAAACTGCTACTGGAAACACCTACAATGTACTACTCCCCAACAGTCTACACGTCCAAACATCTCAAAGGACAAGTTTAACAAGAAGAAAAAAAGAAAATTGATAGTCTCAGTACTATCCTCAGTACTGGCCTGAAATATACCATGTTTCTCTGTGTGAATGTGCACACATGTGCATGTTTATACTAGGTTTCATACAACTAGATATTAAAGCATTTTCATCAGCATGTTCTAGTTAATGACTTTTAAATATTATTCTCTTCATTACCACTACCAGTCAAGAACTTTCTGTCCTTTCCTGGCTTTTTTCTGGCATTGGGGATTAACCCTACAGCCTCTTGTGTACATGGCAAGCACTCACAGCTAAGTTATAGCCCAGCTTTTTCTTTTCTTTTCTTTCTCTTAGTGTCTTGAGATAAGCCTTGCTGTGTAGTCCAAAACTAGCCTGGATCTCACTATTTAATTCAGACTGTTCTCGAACGTGGAGTGATCCTCCTATCTCTGCTTTCCAAGTGCTGGAAGAATTACAAAATAAGCTACCACACTGTCTCCATCCTTATCTAAATCACATAATCTACTCTAATTCAAAGTATAGAAATTATATTAATAGGCATGAAAGAAAACCTAGCTACATTATCAGTTCAGAGATTATTCCCAGGATAGAAGAAGCCTAAAGTAGAAGGAAGTATGAGCCAAGGCAGACGCCCAGCCTTTTCCGCTAACCTCAGAGCTTACCTTGCCTTTTGCATTTCCTGTATAAATATATTCCCCTCGCCTATCAAAAGAAGCCACCACGTTCAAATCGGAGTCGTCGTCTACCGGCAGAACAACATGTTTGGAATCTGAAAGGGTCAACATGACAGGAGCAGATTTCATGGGACACACGAGAACCTTGTTCCTGTTTAAAAATATGAACACATGTTGGCTATTGCTTTGGTATCAGCAGATTGAGTCCCTGTCCTTTTCCCCTGATCCCTGCCCACTTCCTTCACTGGCTCTCCCAGCTCCAGCAAATGTGAAATGGTGAAATCATATGAAGTCTACACTCCTGATAAACAGACTAAAAGAATGACAGCCTATCTTGACAAATAAAATGTGATCATTAAAAATATTTAGTAAACCAGTAAGATACTAAATAAAGTACAAACAAAATACTGATTTTTAATTATGTTAACAGATATATGTGTATGTGAATCAAATATGGCCTGGGCTTGAGGCACATATAATGAGCATCATACTTACAGAGAAAGAGACTATGAGAGATCCCCAAGAAATGAAAAGTTGTGTCTGAGCAATGGAATACTAGGCAACCTTTCCTTAAACGTAGTCTTAATATTAAATTGTTTCCTCATACTAAAGTAGTCTAAAGAGTCAAGGCCAGGGCCCACTCACTACATTATTCCCACCTTTGGTCATTTCCAAAGTCTTAATATTGATCAGTTACAATCTCCTTACAATATATTCAGTAGAACCAACCTAGACAGAAAAATTATTTTATATAGGCTTGAAAAGGTGTTGTGTTTGCCTCTTAAAAAGTTGTCAGAGCCCAGAGCTAATCCACTCAGAATGAGATCCCACCCTAGGAAAGGAATATCTTAAACATACTGATCTCGAGGATGATATTGGACTTTTAAGATGGGTGAAGGGAATCGAAACCTCTGGTCGCAATCGCCTGAAAGAACATCCCACTGTGACACTATGTTATCTGTAGAAGCACTCACGAGCTTATGACCATCTCGACTCCAACTAGGGGAAAAAACAGAGGTGAATTTAGCACATGGTAGAAGGTAAAGTATATATACCACTATTATGGATAAAATGTTGACCTAATTGCACAGGCCAACATTTTTAAAAGTATAGCCAAATTTGTAACAAACCTTCTCATTATATACCCAGGCTGACCTTGAACTCACAATCCTCCTGTCTCTATTTCCCAAGTGCTGAGATTATAGGCATGCGCCACCATGCCTGGCTCTTGTACTATCTTTAAATATATAGTAATGGTACTATTTCAAAATAACACTATGGTCAGTACCCAAAATAACAGACTTGAGCATCTTAGTTAAATTCCCAAATCAGTCGACCTTTAAGACCATGAAACATAAAAAGGGCTTGGGAGGTTTCAGAGATGAAGACCATCTGAATTTCCTACAGCCCTCCATCACAGCATCTGTTGTCTGAATCTCTAAAGGTCTTATATAATAAAAACCCGGAGCCAGATATTGGGGTAAATGCTGAAAGATCAGAGAGACAAAGGAACAAGCCACTGCCAAGTCTCACCTCTAGGACTCCTCAGCCTGAAAAGGCTTCAGCTCCTGTCTCCTCACACCTTATATACCTTTCTCCACTCAGCCATCACTTCCTTCTTAGTGCTGGGACTAAAGGCTGTGTCCATCCCAAGCAAAGGCATGAGATCTCAAGTGCTGGGATTGAAGGTGTGTGCCACCACTGTCTGGCCTCAATGTCTAATCTAGTGGCTGCCTTTGTCCTCTGATCCTCAGGCAAGCTTTATTTGATACACAATATATCACTACAAGCACCAACAAGAGACAAATATGATACCTCAAAATAATTAAAGTACCTGCAATCCTAACACTCAGGGGGTGGGGAAGGGGTTCATGAGTTCAAGGACAGCCTGGGCTACAGACCAAAACTGTTTCAGAAGCAAAAACAATAAAAATTAAGAAATGAGCCGGGCGGTGGTACAAGCCTTTAATCCCAGCACCTGGGAGGCAGAGGCAGGCTCATCTCTGTGAGTTTGAGGCCAGCCTGGGCTACAGAGTGAGTTCCAAGAAAGGCTCCAAAGCTACACAGAGAAACCCTGTCTCAATAAACAAAACAAAAACAAACAAACAAACAAAAAAAGAAAGAAATGAATAGTCATTTCTTTTGTTTGTTTGTTTGTTTTTTGAGACAGGGTTTCTCTGTGTATGTAGCTTTGCGCTTTTCCTGGAACTCACTTTATAGATCAGGCTGGCCTCGAACTCACAGACATCTGCCTGCCTCTGCCTCCCGAGTGCTGGGATTAAAGGCGTGCGCCACCACTGGAATAGTCATTTCTTAAATGCAGGTATACAGACATTCTGTTAAACAAAGACTGAAAGGTAGACTGACTAGTTAGAGACAGCAGAGCCCAGAGGATGACTCAAGACTGAATCCCCTGGATCTGCCTCACACACCCTGGACTGGGCGAAGAAGTCAACAACTGGGTAATGCCAACAGTTACACACAATCCTCCTCTTCTTTCCCCACCCAAGACAAGCCCCAGAGAAAAACCTGCACCCCTCTGTCCTCATCAGCAAGGTCCGGACAGACAGACCTCCTCACGGGTGCTGTCAGACGGCTGAGCGCAAACAGCTTCATTAGTGAGATCTCCCACCACAGTGCCTGTGGAGGTCAAACGGGCCTCTGTCCTTCCCAAACAAGATGATGTCAGCAGAGACCCTGGAGTCTCTACTTTCAACCCTACCAGTAGCCTCTGCAAAGGTGTACAGAAAAAACCTAAGGGAACTCTCGAACTGAAAATATAATAACAAAGTAAAAATTCAGGAGAGGATTCCAGCAGTCAATGGAGCAGAGGAAAGATAAGAAACCGTAAACTGGAAGAGTAAAAGCTACTAAACATGGATAATAGATTTAAACAATTTAAGTGGGTGGGAGGAACACTGCCTCAGGGATCAGACAGACAACAACAAATAATTTAATAGCCATTGACTATCCATGTCATCAGAGTCCTACAAAGAACAGAGTGTGGCTTTAAAGTACATGAAGAAACAACAGCTACATTTCTCCAAATATACCAAAAAACCCAAAACCCTCCCGACTAAAACAGGTGACCGAAATCAAACAATATAAGCCAAAGGAACCATCCAGGAGCTGGGGATGAGCTTAGTTGGTGGAGATCTTGCCTAGAACTCCTAGTACTGTGCAAACCAGGCATAGGAACACACACTGTAATCTCAGCATTTGGGAGAGAAAAGGAGGATTCGAAGTTCAAGGTCATCCATGACTAATTTAAGATCAGCCTAAGCACACAAGGCCATAACAGCAGGCATGAGAACCCTCTTTTGAGTTGTTGGTTAGGGCTGCCCATCAAGGGACTTTCTCCCTGCAACAGATGGAGATCATTACAGAAAGCCACAACCAATCAAATGCAGAGTAGTGGAGCCCAGGCCTGACTGATCCATCTACAACACAACTCCTGCATCTAAGGTTCGAGGGAGCATTGTGGAAGATGGGGTAGGAAGAGTGTAAGAACCAGAGGACAGGAAGTGTGCTGTGAGACTGTGTTTCCTAGGAATGTCAGAAGCTACACCCATACAGTTTTACCAATATAACTACAACATGGATGGGTAAAAGCTCACAGGCCTCAACCTAGACAGTGAACTACAGGCAACCAAGGAAGGCTAAGAACAAAAATCTTCCTCAAGAAAGAGCACAACAAATGGTTATCAAATACCAAATGGTCAGCCCAGAAAACATACATTCAAATAACATTATATGGATTGAGTAGGTTGTTTTTATATATTTAGGAATATATACATGTATGTGTACACACACACACACACACACACACACACACACACCACCCCAAAAATTAAGAAAAAGAGATCATTAATTTTAAAAAGAGCAAGGGATAGGGTACATGGGAGGGTCTGAAGGGAGGAATAGGAAGGAGTAAATGATGTAACTATAACATCAAAAAATTTAATAAGATTAAAAATAAAAAATTCCAGAATACAAACATGTTGAATGCAGAAACATCCTCAATCTTAAATCTTAAAAGTGGTACTAGGAAAATGGTACCCCATCTACAGAAAAATAGGAACATAAGGATAACAGTTTCTCATAAAAACTACAGAGGTCAAGAGTCAGGCATGGTGGCACACCCCTTCAATCCCAGCACTCCTAAGGCAGAGACAGGAGGATCTCTCTGAGTGGAAAACCATTCTGGTCTACACAGAGAAGGGAAGCCTGGGCTATGGAGAGAGACCCTGTCTCACAAAACAACAACAAAGAGGCTAAACCAAGTTCTCTAAATGGAAAGAAAAAGAGAAAATGAAATCTTAGGACACTATAGGTTTGTCTTTTGCCAGTTACAATGTATGCAGAGGAAATGTATAAGATAATTACATTTACACACTGGAGGCAGCCCGGGAAAGAAGGCCAGGGCTCTATTCTTTATCTGAACTGCTGCCAAGTCAGCCCTGGGGTATTTTAGACTGTGGCTAATCAGGTGTGTAATATTGTATCGAGTGGTTACTAGATTAGAAGGTACACAAAGAACACTGTAAATCAATCAATACAAAACCCTAAATTTGTTCAAGTAACCCACAGAAGGCAGTCATCAGAGAAAGGAAATATAGAAGGAGCACAAAGGAAAAACAAAACTGTGTAATGAAAAATGCTTGTTACTGGAGAACTCAGCAGCCAACACAAGAAGAGGAGAAGCTCACAATCAGACCTCTGCTCACACCTAGACATGACTTAACTTTCTAGCTGTGTGGTCTTAGGGAAGTGTACGGTTTTTCTGGGCTTCAATTCCTCATCTATGATAAGAAGGATAAAGTCTTTCCTTATAGAGGACTACTGAGACAATTAGAGTTAATATATATATATAAAGTTTGTAATCCAATGCCTAGCATGTAAGGAGTGTTCAGAAAATATTCAGTCATTTGTATGAGAGATGAGGTAAACATATTCCTAGACTCTGGAGACAAATGATGGCAGAAATAAGCTAAGGATTTAACTATGAGGGACTAAGGTCAAGTCTGCATACAAAGACTGGGGTTACCTTTCCTACCAGGTCTATAATAACTGCAATTAACCCTGGGCCTCCATACACATATGTATAGGTATGTTTGCATGTGTATGGCCTCGTGTACACACACACACACGAGGCCATACACATGCAAACATAACTATACACAAGCACATTTTAAAAAAAGGAAAAAAAAATCATGGGCCTGAGGCATTTATATAACTCTGTAGTAAAGTACCCAGAATGTATAAGTTCCTGGGCTCAATCTCCAATACCACAAAAAAGAAAGTAAATAAAATAAAAATTCCTTACCACAAAGAACAGACTGGATGGATGTGTGCACTAATTATTTTAGCAATGCCTCTTGTCAAGAAGTCCCAAATGACAATTCGGCCATCATTACAGCCAACTGCAAGCAGCGTGCCCCACCTGTTAAAGGTGCACGTCAGGGCCATGCTAATGCAATCCAAAGTCCCATCCGCTTCCTAGAAGATAAATGCAGAAGTATACACAAGGGCTCTCATCATGAAAGACAATGCACACAGAAATATCTCTGCAAGTGTTCTTACACCTTTTAAATTGGTTAAAATGAACAAATAATTATAAAAGCTAACCAAAACCTTTTGGAAACAGTGATGATCAATCTCTTACACAAACTTTCTGGAGGTCAACGGACAAAGTGTCATAGAGGTAACTACAAGAGTTCTCTGATTACAGGAAAAAAAAATTTTTTTTTGATTTTTTTGAGACAGGGTTTCTCTGTGTAGCTTTGCGCCTTTCCTGGATCTCACTCTGTAGACCAAGCTGGCCTCGAACTCACAGAGATTCGCCTGCCTCTGCCTCCCGAGTGCTGGGATTAAAGGCGTGCACCACCACCACCCGGCTGATTACAGGAAAATGTAAAAACTACGAAGCAGCCTGTGTGACTGACATTAAGAAAATTACATTATTTTACAACAATGTCAAGCTTTAACAAATAACCACAATGAAGCACAGGAAATGTTACAAATGCACAATTACACATGGTGATCATTACTATGTAAATACATTTATCAAAACTTATAAAGCACACACAAAAAAAGTTCCTGTATAAATGATGGAAGTATTTGTTTAAAAAGCACTTCCATTAAAGTTGTGAATATTTTTTCCTTTTAAAGAAAAATGAATTCTTCCAGGCGGTGGTGACGCACACCTTTAATACCAGTACTCGGGAGGCAGAGGTAGGTGGATCAGTGAGTTCAATGACAGTCTGGCCTATAGAGTAAGGTCCAGGACAGTCAGAGCTACAGAGTGAAACCTTGTCTCAAGCAAACAAACAAACAAAAAAGAATCTTAAGATTTAAAAAATTACTTTGAGATTTCCAGCCAAAATTGTATGTTACCTGTTGTTCCAAGTTAAACAGCTCATTTTACCACAGCAATATATGGATGTGTGTGTCACATTTAGTTATTTGTCATTAAAAAATAAAAGGCAGTTACCATTTTCCACACATTACGACAAAACTAAACTTACCTCTGGATAGTTCTGCCCAAAGGACTCTGCAACAAGGCAAAGAAAGAAAGTGGATGAAACATAAGGCACACTCAAGGGCCCACGCGGCCCACGAACAGCACACAGCTCACTGGCCCTTTCGGCACCCATGAGCTCACACTACTCATCACCACAGGCAGATGGCATTTGCTTTTTTAAACTCCTATCATCATCTCATAAGCATACAGGAAAGTATTCCGAGGCTGTGATATCTTAACAAAGTGAGTACAGAAGAGATGTGAATCCAACCACCTTCTATGTGGGCAAATACTAAAGAGACTTTGTCAAGATGCACTGGCCTTTCCTCTCACCCGAGTTTGTTTGTTTTCAAAAGCCCCAGGAAGTGGAGAGCCAGGGATCCTAACTGTGAGCTGTAACACTCGGGACAGACGAACAGTCCAAAGTGCCACCTGGTGCAGTTTGGAGGCGTACTAGGGGGGCAGACAGACTACGAGGAGAGAGTCTGAAGAGCTAAAGGCAGGAGCTGAGACCGTGAAGAACACAAGACCTAGAGACCAGAATCAAGAGAGCCAGCACGGGCACAGCCCAGGGCCCTGAGACGCAGAGCCCAGGAGCTGCTGTGTGCTGGTGCGCCGGTGAGCTGAGCCCAGAGCCCTAAGCTTCCGCTTCAGCACCTGAGCAACAAGCCTCTGGCTCGGAAATCTGGAGCCATAAACCTTTAGTTCTCCTGCATTAGAATATAAAACTGTGAGACTGGGACAGTCGTGAGCCACCAGAATGCAGGGTCACCAACTGTCCTCACTGCCTATCAGGATTCAAAGGACCCCCAGCCAGCTGCTTGTAACGCATTCAATTATGAAAGAAGGGAATGAAAGCAAATGCTGAAATGTATCCAGGAAAGTGTGCTGGAAAACTGTGTTTAAAGTTACTGAAGTAGAGCATGTGTCACCTAGAAAAGCGCATCTGGGGCTGCAGAGGTGGCTCCGTGGCTAAAGGACTTGCTGGCCACACTGAACACTAGAGTGTGTATCCACAGCACCCACCTGAAACAGGGAGGTGGGAGCCAGGGCCAGCAAGATGGCCCGTGGGCGAGTAAAAGCACCTGCCAAGCAAGCCTGGTAACCAAGTTCAATCACCGGAACCCACAGGAGAAGGGAAAAACCACCTTCTGCAAGTTCCCTCTGATTTCCACAAGAGCACCATGGCATGCACACACACACACACACACACACACACACACACACACACACGAAATGTGTAATCAAAAGATAACGGCCTTCAACCCACTTGGCAAAGTAAAAACTTATAATATGTTCATACAGACATTTGCTCAAAGTTTTTCAAATAAACTACTACACATATTACAAGGTGACCTGCTCCTCTCATTGGGAAAGCCAGTGTTTCTTTCCCAATCAATAAACTATATTCACATGGTTGAGAAGTAAACAAAAGTGCAAACTCATTCAAACATTAAAAACAAAAATCAGGGTCAGTAAGATGGCTCAGCAGGTAAAGGCGCTGAGAGCCAACCCTGCAGCCCTGAGTTCGATCCCCAGGACCCATAAGTTAAGAGAACCAACCCCCACAGGCTGTTCTTTGACCACCCCATGCACACACACACACACACACACACACACACACACTTTTAATGTAAAGTTTTAAAAATAATTTGGCTAGAGATGGAATTTCAGAGCCTCAAAACCCACGTAAAGGGTAAAGGTGAGTGTACAGAGGAACAGGACAGGCAGATGCCCTGGAGCTCACTGGTCAGACATATTAGTCAATCAGAGACCTCTGGGTTCAGTGGCAGACCTCATCTGAAAACAGGAAGAGGAAGAAACCCAACATCAGTCTCTGGCCTCAACACATACAAGCAAACATGTGCATCTGTACAAAATGCATGCACACAAACAGGTGCACATACCATATACACACAAAATGTTTAATCAAAAAACAAAAATTTAAAAATCATCAAGAAAGGCATTGTTATAAACACCAGCACTCAGGAGACTGAGGCAGGACTAAGTCGGAAGTAAGCTATATGTGGGGTTCAAACCAGTGTGGGCTACTACAAATCCCACATTCTACCTTAGTCAGTCCTCTCAATTCACTGCTAAATAGGCATTTCCACACTTCGATATTATAGATGAAGGGTAAGTCCCACAGTTAAAAACCGGCAAGATCCCGACTGACCCAGAAACAACGCTTGTGCCTATAACCTAACTCCTAGAATCTTGCCTGAATTTGCCCATTAGTTTACTACTCTGTGATTTACAAAACACACCTGCCTTTTCCTGAAAGTCAAAATGTACCCCATCTCCTTTTCAGCATAGCTAATGTTCCATTTTCCTCAAATCCTCAAGAATAATCAACAGTGATGTCATTCACAAGCTCTTTTCTGGGCAAAAGTGCAATGTGAGCTAAAGAGATCTACCTAGAATCATTACCTAATCAGAACTTTCTTGGCAACAACCATTATTCATTTTATTCTGTTCCAAAACATCACCCACTTGCAACAGAACCAAAAAAAAAAGCAAGAACTGAACCATCCAGCAAACCTTTGCCTATAAAATTCATAGTGGGCACTCATGAGGTTTATCAGAGTTCTGAAAGATTAACTGTTGTTCCTACCAGCCTTCAAGATTTCTTTGTTCTCCATGTTTCATAAAACACTGGAACCCTTTCTTGTCCCCTTATTCTTTCAATCTTGGCTTCAGTTACAATAGCTTTCCTACCTCTGTTCTTAAGAGCCTGTGCTCCCCTCACATACACACCTTTGCCTGTGGATTCTTCAGTTACAATAGCTTTCCTACCTGTTCTTAAGAGCCTGTGTGCTCCTCACATACACACCTTTGCCTGTGGATTCTCTCTGAACTTACTCTTTTGGAATCTGAATTCAGTTAGCTTCCAGTGCAAGCTCATCAGCTTCTTTGAGCACCTCCTCAGATCTTCCTTCCCTTGTGGGATCCTTGCTTCAAATAGCTTCTCCAGCCTTCCCCTCAATCCCATCATATGGGATAATGTCTGCATCTCTCTCAAGACGTGGCTGTCATGAGCTTTTCTCAATGGTTCTATTTGTTTTCTAACTGCCAACAAATTCCTCCCTTTCAGAACAGTTTGAGACCATAGTAGCAGCCCATTCTGCTGCCTTTAAAAGGTGATGGCTCTGTCAGTGTCTCCTTCAGAGAAATCCAATTGATAGGTGTCTAGGCAATGGATACTACCCTCCCGACCTTTAGTCTAACATGACCATTCCTGCTACATTGCCTTGGGCCCGGTCTTGCCTCCCTTGATCAATCTTTCAAATAACTTGCAGTTCTAACTTCTTCCACCTACAACTATCCAACAGCACTCACTCACTTAAAATCCTTCTTTGATAAACAAAATGAACAAAACCCTTGTTTTTGAGGCAGAGCCAGGCGGATCTCTGTGAGTTCGAGGCCAGCCTGGGCTACCAAGTGAGTTCCAGGAAAGGCGCAAAGCTACACAGAGAAACCCTGTCTCAAAAAACCAAAACCCAAAACCCAAAAACCAAAAAAAACAAAACCTTGTTTTTAATGTATATGAGCACTCTATCTGCATGTAAGCCTTTATGCCAGAAGAGGGCATCAGAGCACACTATAGATGGTTGTGAGTCACCATGTGGAATGATGCTGGGAATTGAACTCAGGACCTCTAGAAGAGCGCTCTTACCCACTGAGCCATCTCTCCAGTCCATGAACAAAACTCTTGAAGTATAATTTTGAAAAGCAATCTCAGCAGGGCCCTAGCCAGTCCTTTTCATTTTGTCTTTTGTTTATACACGATCGGCACCTGTGCCAGAACTAACCATGCCCTGAGTACCAGCTGCAGAACACACCAGTTTCCTGCACACGCACACTCATGCATGCCTAGGAATGTTTGCTTCTATAGTTTCCTCCACTGGAAGGTAACCCCACAGAAAGCTCCTGCTCCAGTTTTTTGTTGGTTGGTTGGTTTGATCTCCATCTCAGTATTTTCAGTTGAGAAGTACCTCTGTAAAATTTCCCCAAATTTTACATCAATCCCACCAACAGTGTAGAACTAGCTGCTTTCATATGGATTCCCCACATTGAACTAAGATACTATAACTCTGTATTATACAGCTACTTGTTTCTCTTCTCCTGGTTGTGTTTTTATCCAGGACAAAAGCAGTATCTTATTCTGTTTTCAGCTGGTATAATTCAGCCCACTCCAAAAATGAATAAATCATCATAGCCCATTAAAACAAGTTTTTAATAAATTAGTGCAGGAAATATCAGAGGATAATGAACAAAAGGATAAGTATAATTCTTTCTTTCTTTCTTTTTTTTTTTGTTTTTCGAGACAGAGTTTCTCTGTGTAGCTTTGCGCTTTTCCTGGAACTCACAGGCTGGCCTCAAACTCACAGAGATCCACCTGGCTCTGCCTCCCAAGTACTGGGAATAAAGGCGTGTGCCACCACCACCCAGCTAATTTCAAAAAATTTTAGGGCCTGAGAGATGGCTCAGTGATTAAAAGCACTTGCTGCAAAGCATAAGACCTAGAGCTCAGATCCTGGCACACAGTAAGTCTAGCACAGTCCTGCACATGCTTGTAACCCCAGCACTGAGGAGGGCAGAGACAGGAGAGGGTTTGCTGGTTACCAGTGCAGCTGAAAAACATGAGCTCCAAGTTGATGGAAAAGCCTGTGCCTCAAAGGAAAAGGGCAAAGACTGACAAAGGAAGTTTCACGCCACCTCTGTATAAATGATTTCTCTGGCCCGAGTGCACAAACTTACCCACACACATATGCACTCACACAAATACAGACATACATCACACAGACACACCCATGACAAAAATATTCTAATGACACAAGTACATACATAACGGCTGTGATAGTTTATTTCTTGGACCAGTGAGATGGCTAAGGACACCCGCTGCCAAGTCTAAGGACCTGAGTTAGATCTCCAGAACTTCCCACAGGGTAAAAGGAGAGAAATGACTACCCAAAGTTGTCCTCTGACCTGCATGTGAGTTGCTGCATGCACCCCCGCCCCGACACACACACACAAACCTACACACACTAAACAGATTTTAAAATTAATTTTTAAAAACAAAGTATTTCTTCATATGAGTTATAGGGGAAAAATGAGTTTGAAAAACTATCTTGGCCTGGTGATGTAGCATTTGCCTGCGTGCGCATACCCTGAGATGGAAGAGAGGCTGTCTTAGTAATTATGCATCTCCAACGTAGACACAGCAACATCTCAAAAAGTGGTCAGATGGTCACAGAAGCAGAATTTGTATCCTGTCTGGGAAGCACCTGAGTGGCCACATTCCCCAACCTATTATCCTTCCTTCGTTTCCTTTATCTGCCCAGATGTCCTTTACTGTGTTCCCACAACCAGAGCACTTCTGTCCCTTTTTCCTGCTTGTATACAACCATTAACCTTCTCACTTTCAAACTCAGTCACTTCTACAGAGACTTCTACCTTTTGGAGACCCAGACTGCTTTTTAATTGTTCGATATGCTAAATATTCCTAAGTTTCCCCCTTATGAGCCTTCTGTATCATTCAAAAGAACTTTCCCTGTGACTCTGTTAACTCTTTCAAAGGACTATTGTAACATCTTTCCTCTTATAAATAAGGATCATCTCTTGGTCTCTACTTCTCTCACACCTTCCTAAAAAATCACTGATTCTATCTTCATCTTAGACTGTTAAGGGGTGCAAGTTGCCCGGGGATGAAATGGAGCAGCCTTTCTCAGTTTTCAGCCCCAACTGCTCTGCAATTAGTGTCTATAGGAAGGAACTACTCACCTGGATCCTCTTCTAGCTGATGCACATAGGGAACTACATGGAAGGTATCTGAAAACGTGCCTAGTTCATGGAAGCACTGCATATACAATTTATAATCATTTGCTCATCGCTTTTCCTCCAAATACAAGTAAGTAACCAAAGGTCTTGTCCCTGGCAATTTTCTTTTCTGTCCCTCTCATCTTCTCCCTTCCACTTCTTCACAGGGTTTCAATAAGTCAAAAGGAATGGTGATCAGAAGTCAACACTTGTCTCCCAAGCTCAGTCTACATTCAACATATCCAAGCTACCTTTCAAATGTCCTTACATCTTATCAATAGCATCATTATTTTTAGTTCATCTTCTCAAAACCACTACACTCAAATTCTGCCAACACTGTCTCCTCAATGTTTTTTTTTCTTTCCATATCCGAGCTCACACATTCCTTATCACTCATCCATTGTAGCCCTCCAACTTGGTTTTCTATTTTTTCAACTATACATTACTGTCAGATAAACTTTACAGATCAGTTCTCCAACTGAATTGTCAATGGATCTGCCCTACCTTCCTTAAAAAGCCAACTGTCCAACCTGGTGTCCATAAATAAATAGCACCAATCTAAACTCTTGGTCATCTCTTTATCAAAATATACACATTTGCCCAAGCAGAAAAATTCTCTCACAGGGGATGCTGGAGAAATGATTCAGAGGTTAAGAGCACTGGCTGCTCTTACAAAGATCCCAGGTTTGACTCCCAGCACCCACATGGTAGTTCACAACTATCTCTAATTCCAGTTCCAGGGGCTCTGGCTCTCTCTTCTGGCCTCTGTGGGCACCAGGCACCTCACTGGCGCACAGACATACACATAGACAAAACACCCAGACACATTTAAAAAAACAAACCACAACAAAAAGCAACTCTCACTAATGTCTTATTTCAGACACATCTTCCACATATTTTCATACTTAGTCTGTATTATATCCACATGCATTATGCACGCTCCAAAAAGCTACTTGAAGACAAAGAACACTTTAAAATAATCTTTGTAACCCTCTGTCCCTTCTCAGAAAAAAAATACAACCATTAAAGGCAGCCAACTCATGTAGAAGCTCCTGAAAACAGATGTCACCAGGCTGCCATGCTGAAAATACATCATAGAGGGCCACAAGAAAATACCAATGTGGATACGGGGTTGGGAATCAATGATTTAAAGACATAGTGAGAATAAAACAACTGCTTGTGTAGTTCACACTTCGGTGATCTACACCTCCTTACGGTTGAGGACCTTAAACTGGAAGTCAAGATAACCAGATTCCAAGTACCAACTACATCACTTAGTGCCCAGTCACAACACTCTTATCCTTTTTCTGAGATCTGGTTAAATAACACATTTCTAGAAAGAGTTACTTCTATCTAGATATCCGATCCCCTGACAACTCTTCACAATTTTACCCTAGGTCACTTTGCCTTAGATTGCATCTCCAAAACTCTGGTCCTGCCTGCTCCGTTACTTCAGCACCTGAGATCCTCGAAATCACAGCTCAGTCCAAAAGTGCCCCTATGACTCCACAACTGATCTGAAAGTGGACTCGGAAAGGTAATGCATTCTTCTCTGACAGAAGCTGGTCTTTCTCCTGTTGCTGCAACTCCGCATCATGCGCATTCAAAGAATCATCTCTAAGAAGAGCGTCCCGAAGGTTGCAGCCTGCGTTCCCTCCCGCCCGGGTTCCCTCCTTTCCAGTACCAAAGGGTTAGCTAATACGCAGCCACAGTCCTCCTCACCCAGCAACTCGAGGTTCATCCCTGCGGACGCTGGCCGCCTGCTCTCCGCACCGGCAACAGTCCCTTCTCCCCCACCCGCTCAGAAGCCCCGCGTCTAAGTGGGGGGCGCCGCGAAGAGCCTGGCGCAAGCTCCGGAGACTTTCGGACTTAGAAGGCCCCGCGGCTTCCGCTTTCCTCCCCCGCCTTCCTTGTTCGTTTTACGTAGCTGTCCACATTTATCCCTAATTTTAAAAAAAGATTAAACGCTTTTGGAATCAACCAATTACAATATTTTTGAGATATAAAAATGATATCGTCGGTCAGAACTCCAAAAAGTGCACGAATGTAAGGCTTTTCTCTCCGGGACTATGTAAGCGAGCAAGAAATTTCAGGCATATCACTAACCCACTAATACTTACTGTGCTGTGTGTTCCTCGGGTAGTTCGGGCGGCTGCCTGTGACTCCGCAAGAAAGGTTCCGGGTGATTCTTTCTAAGGCAGGAAAGCGGGAAAGGTCGGCCCCTAGTGTCGGAGTGTTGGAGCTCTTAGACGTTTTCAGAGCGTGCGCTGGCTTGGCTCACGCTATGGGTACTATAGTTACTATGTGTATGACTTAATTCCGTGAAGATTATTTCACGTCTCTAGAAGTATGTCATACGCCACAGAAAAGGGTATGATAGCATTTGTTACGCCCTATCTCCGGTTTTACTGTGTACACAGTGTCGATTAGGGCACAGGAAAAGATTTGTCAAGAGAGATGGACTGAGTTCCCCAGTTGTCAGACTTGATGAAGTACACAGAGCAATCAGAGAAGACCAGCCGCTGGTAAATAATGGGCGTGGGGTAGGGGGTGTTTATCCGACTGTAGATATGGTGGGCATTTACAAAAAGGAAAGAATGGAAAAGGCTTACTGCACGATTCTCCTATGCAGATACAGCGGAGTAATCTAGAGGTCCTACTAACTGACTCCACCCCTTACAGCTATTTATTCCTCTGTGCCTCCGTTTCCTTATGAGTAAAATGGGAGTAGTGATAATACTACTTACAGGATTATGAGGATGGAATGGGTTAGCATACAAGCACCTAAAATAGCAGGTGACAGCAAATATTAGCCATTATTCACCAATTTCCTTGTCCTAAATATGTCACTTTCTTGTAGCCATTTAACCTAATAGCAGTAATTGAGGCTCAGAGCTATTAGACAATTTTCACTCCTTTGCATATACAATTTTCCCAAAATGCTACCCAAGTACTATACTACCAGGACTAGTCTATAGAAGTCTTTCTGCACTCCTCGAAATGACTTATTATCAAGTCTCTTCAGCTATACCCACTGGATAAGTGGAAAAAAAAAATCATTGTTTCACTTGTTTAGTAATAGTGACGAACTTTTCACATGTATATACATCTTCATTCTTCTCTTCTGTGAGGCAGTCATTTTGTGTCCCTTGCCAATTTTTTTTAATAGAGCATGCATTTTGTAAAAATGTCAAAGAAGGGATAAAATGATCAAATTGATGTTTAAGAAATAAGATGCAGCTGGGCGGTGGTGGCGTACGCCTTTAATCCCAGCTCTTGGGAGGCAGAGGCAGATGAATCTCTGTGAGTTCGAGGCCAGCCTGGTCTACAGAGTGAGATCCAGGAAAGGCACAAAGCTACACAGAGAAACCCGGTCTCAAAAAACAAAAAAAAAAAAAAAAAAAGAAAGAAAGAAAGAAAGAAAGAAGACGCCTACCCAGCCTTGTAGCACATATGTGTGATCTCAGCACTCAGGAGCCTAGACTATATAGTGATCCTGGTGTGAGAGGGAAGAAGGAAATAAAATTTAAAGGGTTGTTGTTGTTGTTGTTGTTTTGTTGTTTGTGTGGTTTTGGGTTTTTGGTGAGATTTGTTTGTTTGTTTTGTTTTGTTTTTTATCTTACTGGTGCTAGTGATTGAACCTAGAACCTTACCAACAGGCCATACCCATAAGCTATAGCGGTGGGGCACAACTTTAATCCCAGCACTCAGGAGGCAGAGCCAAGCGGATCTCTGTGAGTTCGAGGCCAGCCTGGTCTACAGAGTGAGATCCAGGACAGGCACCAAAATTACACGGAGAAACCCTGTCTCAAAAAACAAAAACAAAAACAAAACAAATAGGAACAGGGTATCTGAATTTGGTGCTGAAGGGGCCTGGAGCAATTTACACCTGTCATTCTGATGCTGTGAAAGAAGAACTTGGTTCTTAGCCAGGCCAAACTTCCCTCTCATTAAGGTATTTTATGTCCTTCATGCATTAGGCCAGCTAGTATTTACCACCTCTCTTCCAGATAAAAATCAAAAATTCTGGGCTGGGTTATAGTTTGGTGGTAGAGCTTGCCCTCGCCTGTGTGAAGTTTTGGGTTTGATCCTGAAACACCATGGGAGAAGACAGGGTTGGGAGATCTCTGCCTGAAACACTTCTGCTTCACAGTCAACCAAGAAATCCTCTGGGCAGCTGGCTCAGATAGCATGAGTGCATTTGAAAGCTCCCATGTGACCCCAGCATACAGACCAGGTTGAGAGCTACAGCAGAGGGCTGGGGGTGGCATCCACCACACTGGCTGAGACAGGGATTAAAGCCATTCTCAGAAAAAGTGCGCAGTCACAGCCCGTGTTTATTGTCAGTGGAATTACAGACTCAGGGTAGTTAAAGAGAGGAAACAAGAACAATTGCAACACAGCTCTGAATTCCCTGGAGAGCAGAAAATTGAGAGGGGAAGAAAAGTGTATCGGTATAGATGCCATTCTCTTGAAAACACATGGCCAACGATGGAAGCGCGAGCGCGCACACGGTTATTCCTTGCAGTAGTATCTGTAATTGCCATCTAATTGCAACAGTTAAAATTTTTGAAAAGCAGGGAGCTTGAGCTTTTCATTCTTATTCATTCTGCAGAAGATATGTTGAGATTATCTCAAATCTATCATCTCTTCTAGCTTTTTATGTTTATCTGTAGATAAAAGCAAACTTCTTTGCAGGAAATCCCCAGGAGTTTGTTGTGATCACAGATTATGCATGAAGTAACTCGGGTTTATCAATCATTGCTGTCTTCAGTACTATTTATTCTTTACAACACCAATTAATTGTTGAAAACATGTTTTATGATTCCAAATAAATAAAAATACGTTATAGATGGGTGATAAAACTATTTACCAGTAAGAAACCCTCATCTCTCACATTATTAAGTTTTTTTTTAAAAAGTAAATCTGGCCGGGCGGTGGTGGCGCACGCCTTTAATCCCAGCACTCGGGAGGCAGAGCCAGGCGGATCTCTGTGAGTTTGAGGCCAACCTGGACTACCAAGTGAGTTCCAGGAAAGGCGCAAAGCTACACAGAGAAACCCTGTCTCGAAAAACCAAAAAAAAAAAAAAAAAAAAAAAAAAAAAAAAGTAAATCTGTCGTTCAAAAGTGACAGCAAAAGAATGAAAATAAAATAATTGTAAACACTGCCTTCCACTAGATATAGCCATTCACACCTGAATCCCAGCACTCAGGAGGCCAATAAAGGATGGTTTTGAGTTAAAAGCTAGCCTCGGCTGCATAGTGAGTTTGAGGCCAGCCTGGGCTACACTTTGGGGATGAGAATGTATCTCAACCACAGAGCCCTTGCTTATCAAGTATGTGTGAGACCCTAGGTTCAACCCTCAGCAGTACAAAGACAAAAAGAAACCCTTTGTACAACTTTGTGACAAGAAGCTTTAGAAACATAGATTTTTTTTTCTGTTGATATTATATACTTGCAAAGCTAATTTATCCAGAAAGAAAAAGAACTCATAGCCATGGTAAATGTTGAAGCTTTTAAAGACGGCCCAAGGGCAGGCACGGTGCAAGTTTCAGTCCCAGCATTTGGGTGACTGAGGCAGGGGACCTAAAGTTCAGGGTCAACCTGAGCCATGCTATATAGCAAGACGCCTTCTCAAAAACTAAACTTAAGCCAGGCGGTGGTGGCGCACGCCTTTAATCCCAGCTCTCGGGAGGCAGAGGCAGGCGGATCTCTGTGAGTTCAAGGCCAGCCTAGTCTCCAAAGCGAGTTCCAGGAAAGGCGCAAAGCTGCACAGAGAAACCCTGTCTCGAAAAAACCAAAAAAAAAAAAAAACTAAACTTAAAAAGGAATCGGGGAGGGAAAGGAGAGGAGACGACGGGGGAAGGAGAGGAGAAATGTATCAGAAAGTGTAAGGAAAGATGCAAGGTTTTCGTGTGCTCGGATTTCCATGTCTACCTTTCCCAAGCATCACCCCATCCTTAGCAGCTGCTCGATCTTTGGGACTTACATCATCTTGAACCACTCAAAACTGCTTTGCTTTCTTGCTAGGGACCAACTAGACAATTACAGTCAGAATCTCTGGTAGCAACGAGTCAGCATTAAGTTTATCCTCTCCTCTATTACTGGATCAATTTTTCTCTTTTGAATCTTTCCCTTAATATAATTTCAACTACAAAAAAAAAAAAAAAACCCGCCTGAGTCTCCTGGGGTCCTTTTTCCAGACCGATGGAATGAGGCTCCCCTTCCATCCTGATGCCCATCTTCTGACTGTCAGGAGGAAACACATCTTTGGGTCTCTGCTACCCTGGGTATTTCGACTTGCTTTGTTAGCTGTTGACCTCATCTGTCTACTGGTCAGTACTTATTGGATGCCAAGCTTGTGGGTATGTGCACCTCAGACCTTGGCAGGATCTGGGAGTCATTTATTAGACTGTTCTCTTTGCTCATACTTCTGTGGACAGCGTGTAGTTTTTATTCTAGCAGGGAGCTAAGTCCCATCATAGCTACCAAGATGTCATCTCTAGTTACCTCCCATCCAGCTCTGTGTCTGTGGTCTAGGGTAGTCTCCTTTCTGGAATAGGTAGAGAGTTTTTAGAAGCTAATCTTACTTACAGTTTCATCTGTTAGAACTAGCTGTATTGGAGGCCGGAAGTGGTGGTGCACACCTTTAATTCATAGCGCTTGGGAGGCAGAGG